TTCTAACGCCAGATCCTGGTGCTCCAGGAATGTAAATTGTTGCCCGTGAAGTGGGTTGAATTCAGCCAATGGCAGTTACTGTCCAGGCGAGCTCAGCAATAGTTCCCAGTGTGACCCTACCCAGCAGTTCCTGCTACACCAGCCAACTCTGATTCACTTGTGGGGCTGGGGGAGGGGTTGTGTCAGGGCCTCTGTCTAGGGGTGGCAGAAATGGCTGATGGCAGCGGGATGGGGAGCCCGTGCCACAGGGCGCCCAAAGGGAGAGCTCTGGGCCCTAAAAGGCAGCTGGGGCCGTTGGGACACAGGGTGCCCTAGTGGCCATGGCTGGTGGGCAGCACCCCTCATGCCGGGCTCCTCCAGGACACACTCCAATACAGCCACGCAGGAGAGGACGTGGGCTCGACCCCCCAGCCTGAGTCACCTGGGGGTCGTTCGCACTGTGGTGGCCGTTGGGCCTGCGAAGCGGCCCGGCTGCGAGATCACATGTAAAACCCACGGGCAAGCTCCCCAGATGGGCCAAGGCCCCGAGAACCAGGGGAAATTGGGGACGACGCTGAACGTTGTAACCCGGGTGAGAGAACCAGACACAGACGCTGGGTTGGTCTGACCAGAAAAGCCCCCTGGCTGCAGCCCCACGACTGTTAACAACTCGCTGAGGGGAAACAAAAGCTGGAACCAGGAGTTAATAGCCCCATATTGGTGGGAGGGACTTTGGGCCGAATTGGGGGGCAAAATAATGAGCGGGAGGGACTAGGCCGCCCACTTCCCCCTCGTTGGGTTCCTTAAAAAGAGACATTGGTAAAACCCCCATGATGGGCTCAACTCTCTCTCTCCATCCCCAACCCACCTTGTGTCCTGGCTCAGCTTGTCTCAGCTTCATCTTCCCCCAGCTCAGCCCCGGCCCCCCAGCACTGCAGCCCCTCGACTCCTCTAAAGGACTTTCTCCCTGAGAGGCCGGAGCCAGCCGGCCTGTCTCTTGTTTAAGGACCTTTGTTTTCCCCTCTGAGAGCTGGAAGTCATCCCATTGCCGCGACCGGCAGCCCCCAGCGCGCCCGTGGGGATAGCTGATTAGCAGCGCCACAAGGGTCCCGGGGATCCTTTTCCCTGCCCTGGTTGGGTTATTTTCTTCCCCGCTGTGTCTTTCCTCCTCTCCTAGCTTTCCACTGGATGCTGCAGTCGGATGTGTGGCACCCACCCCACCTGCCCTGCCTAAGGAGAACGGACCCAACGTGGAGCCGGCCCTGCCCGGATTGTAACCACCTGAGCAGCAGGGGTCGGGGTCACCTTGCAGCCAATACACCCACTTGTCACTAACTCGCATCTAGAGCCGCCACCATCCCCAGAAGCCGAATTTCACCATATTTCACCTCGGTTTCCATCCTGTCTCTCCCTCACCTCCCATCTGATGTTTGTTAATGTAAGGGGAGTGTTTGCCCCCCGCACTGACACTTAGTGGGGTTTTTGGTTGGCCAGCTCCTAGTACCACAGAAAGGTACTGAGCTGAGATTTCCCAACCACTTCAACCAAAACACACTGTTTTAGGTGACATATAAAACAGATTTATTAACTCCAGAAGGAGAGATTTGAAGTGGTTATAAGGAGCAGGCGCAGAGATCAGAGTTGGCTACTTAAGAAATAAAAATATATTCGCAGTCTAAGTTCTACAAATGAAACAGGGTTTGAATCAGGCAGTGTCTCCCCCTGACACATGGTACATGCAGGTTACAGATCCTCAATACACAGACTGGACTCCATTCCAGCCTGGGACCACCCTTCCCCAGTTCAAAGTCTTTGTCCTCCAAATGTTCCTTCAGGTGTTGAGTTGTGGGGAAGAGAAGCCCAGGGGTTATGTCACTTCCCCTCTTATATTTTTTTCCAGTTTGCTGGAAAGATCTTTGCTGTGACCCGGGGATCAGGCCGTCCCCATTGGTCAAGCAATCTCCATTGTACACAGTCTCTGGGATAGTGGATTCTTTCCTTGAGGGGTGTTGATGAGCCATTAACACTGTCTGGCTGGTCCTCTCTTGTAGTTGAAAGGTTGCTGTGGTCATCTCCCAGGCTCACAACATATTTCAGTAGCACACACAGCAATACTTCAGAACGTCCCACACAAGGACAGCACCTACAATGCAACAGGACATCAATGTTCAAGAGATCAAGACTTTTAAAGTGATGCCTCACAAGGCAGACTTTGTACCGAACCCATCTTCATTCTGTTGTAGTGGTGAATATTGGGGTCCACGGTGCTACTTTAAGATACAGATTTCTGTATCACCCTGGCGTGACCAGAGCCTGGGCAGGAGGCCTGGAACATGTGAGGAAGAGACTGTGAACTTCCTTTCCCGTGCAGAGGTGGCTGTTTGTGGTGTCCCTGTGCCCACAGGGCGGTTGACTTGTTTCCTTTAACCTTCTCCATTTGTACTTATTTTTTTATGAGTTGCTGTTTAATAAATTGTACGTGCTCTGAACTCTGTGAAATGATCAGAGGGTCAGGGAAGCATCCGGTGCAAAGAGAGTGCCCCTGGCCTGTGTAACTCTGGCGAGGGGAAGAGTTTCCAACCCCCCTGAGCCCTCTGGGCCTGTGAGACCCTCTGCAAAGAGCAGCCGGGTACGGGAGTTTGGGGGAGCAGGCCGAGGTCACGGGGGGAAGGGATTAGATGGGAGATGGGCTGAGATCAGGGAGGGAGTGGGGACAGGAATTTGAGGGGCGACAGAAAGGGGGTGGGTAGGTGGGTGTTGGTGGGGAGACTGGCTGAGGTTGAGGGGAGATGGGAAAGAGGAACGAGGGTTGGAGGAGGGTCAGGGATGAGGGGGAGATGGGTTGAGGTTGGTGCGGGGTGGGAGGTTGGAGGGGCAGAGAGGACAGAGCTTTGAGGGGAGATAGACCAAGGTCCGGGTGGGGGGAAGGATGGAGGTTGGAGGCGGCATGGGGCAAGGATGAGGGGGAAGGGCTCCCCTCTCACAGAGTTGGTGTCGGCGGATGTGGGGGAGGATTTGTTTTCCCACCTAAACTCCAGCTGAGCTGGGGCACCACCGGCTGGCGGGCAGAAGGGTGAGGAGAGAGACGGGCAGGTGACATCCCCCAGCCTCCCATGGCCATGGGGCAGATTCACCCTGAAATGCTCACAACAGGGTTACCCAGGAACTCCCCAACCACTGGGGGCAGCTTCCATTGTGTCCCCTTCCCTGTCACTGCCCTGCCCCCGAGCTCCTGCCCCCTCAGCCCCTCAGCCCCCACCCAAAATATTCCCCCCACGTGCTTCCACCCCCTTTATTCCCCTGCCCCCCCCCCCCACCGCAGGTGGCAGCCATTTCCCAGAGGACAGCCTGGTGCCAAGCCCACTGGGGACACTGGGAGATGGCGACCATCTTAACTGAGGGCAGGGGATGGGCATTTGAGGGGAAACAGGGCAGGGGATGGGGCGTGAGGGGGACACGTGGGAGGTGTGACATGCTGTGACAAACTGGGACTGTTCTTAATGTTTCCTCTGAATAGTGTGTGGGTGCCTCAGTTTCCCCCATGCATTTCTTAAGTCTCTAGGGGGTGAGATCGTTGCAGGGCAAAGGGCCAGGGTGCATAAATGGCCGATACTCTGTCTCCTGGCAACTAATGGCCGGAGTCCTTCCCCCTGCAAGGAGATAGCTAAAGGTGTTGGAGAAGAAAGGAATCAGATGACCTCCTGGCCTGGGAAAGGAACAAAGCAGAGGAGGAGGGGCTGGAGCGGGGGGTCAGTTTGGAGCTGGCTGGGGAAATGAAGGGGAGCCCAGACATGCTCTGGCCTCCCTGGGGCCCCCCAAGATGGACCTGACTGAGGGGGTCCTGTTGTCTGTACCTGCAAGACCTGTCTTGGACTGTATTCCTGTCATCTAAATAAACCTTCTGCTTTACTGGCTGGCTGAGAGTCATGGTGAATCGCAGGAAGCCGGGGGTGCTGGGCCTTGTCCCCCCGAAACTCCGTGACACGTGTCAGGCTGGGAGGGATTTGAAGGGCGATGGACCATGACATGCTGAGAAAAGCCCCTTAGAACCAGGCGTTACAGTGTAAAGCCGCCATCACCGCTCAGCTATGGTGCAAGGGGCAGGAAACCTAGGTGTTCCCCATTGCACGTGCTCCTCACACAGTGCCACGGCTCGTGTCGCACGTGGGCAGGTTTGCAGGCTGAGCGGGAAGGCTGCAGAGTCAAATCCTCCAGCACCAGGAAATGCCACAGGTCAGGTTTCCCAAACACCCTTAACTCTGCCCCCCTGTGCACATGCATTATGACGCCATCCTTTAATTTTGTGATCACATACTAATTTTACCTTCATGGGTCATCAGCAATGTTTGAATCCAGAATGTAAGAAATAACGGATTGAGGTGGGATCTGCATGGAAATGGTGGTCAGTCAAAGATTGAAGACCCCGTGGTCTCCTGGCTCCCAGCCCGGTGCACCTTTCCCAAGGCTGCAGGGTACATGGAGGGAGAGCTGTCCCTCCTCCCCACAGAGACATGAACAAGCTCTGAGCTGCTTGAAGCTTGGCCAGGGCTGACAGTCGCAGGGTTGGGTTTTGCAGGGACCTCAGCTTACTTTGACCTCAGTAGATTTCGCCTGCAGACTAGAGACAAGGTGTGATGGATGCAGGCAGACATGAGACACTGTGGACTTCCTGTAGCTGGAGCCACGAGTTCCTTATTTGGGGCTCGGTGGAGCTGGTCTCTGGGGCGTTGGTGTCAGCGCTCAGGGCCCAATCATGGTATCTGCAATCACCATCCTCTTCCTCAGTGAGTATCAGAGAAAACCAGGGCATGTGCCCATGGGGGTGAGGGGATCTGAGACAAGGGCATGTGCCCATGGAGTGGGATCTGACACAAGGACAGGTGGCCATGGAGGGAGGGAGGGGGTGGTTTGCAAAGCCATCTGCTTACTTTGACTGCAGTAGGTTACACCTGCAGTTTAGAGACAAGGTGTGATGGACACAGGAAGAGACGAGACAGAGTCAACTTCCCGTAGCTGGAGCCACCGGCTTAGTTCCTTATTTGGGGCTCAGTCGAGCTGGACACCGGGTGTTGGTGGCAGCGCTGAGGGGCCCCTCCCTGCCCCTGTCATGGCATCTGCTCTCACTGTCTTCCTCCTCGGTGAGTATCAGAGAAAGCCAGGGCGTGTGCCCATGGGGAGATGTGAGACCAGGGCATGTGCCCATGAGAGGGGATCTGAGTCCAGGGCGTGTGTCCATGGCAGAGGGGTGGGGATGTGAGACCAGGGTGTAGGATCCAGTTGCTTTGGTATCTGGTCACTAACGAGCCGTCTCCTCTCCAGGCTACTGGCTGGCCGGGCACAGCGGGGCGTGGGGAGGTGAGTATCAGTCTGTGGGAAGGACGGTAACATCAAGGACGGGGGAGGGGTTGCATGGGGTGGGGAAAAGAGGAACTGAGCCCTGAACCTTCCCCAAAACTCAACCCAAACTCCCCTGTGAGCTCAGACCCGTCCCCGTTCTTCTGTGCCCTACTACCCCGCACCAGGGAGTAACTAGGAGCTGAATCTGGCTCCTGGGGTCTGACGAAGCAAACAGGCTGTGAGTAACGGGGCGGGGGGAGTCATCATGTCGATTTATTTCAGCTCATACAAACGCAAAAAGCACCTGTCCGTGGGCTCTAGATCCCCTCGGTGTAACCGAAACGTTCACGGTCAGTGCAGCCGTGGGGAGAACCCCCCAGATCCACCCCCACCCCCAGATCCACCCCAACAGCTCCCTCCCCTGCACTCACAGCCCCCCCCCACCATTCCCAAGGCCTGGGGAAAGGTGGGTCTTGTGTCACTCCTGCCAGTCACAGACTCTATTTCCCACCCCAGGGTGGGGTACTGAGCTGCAAGGGGCCCACTGGCCAGGCTCCCTGGCTGGCCTCAGGTGGGGCCGGGGTGGGGGGCAGGTGATCTCTCATGCAGCTGGATCTTAAGCTACGTCTGGGTCATCCCCCTGCCCCCAAACCGCATGGGCCGCAGTGTCAGCCCTGGTAGGGGACTGACCCCTAGAGAGGCCGAATGACGGATGGACTGAATTGGGGTGGGGGGAGGTGGGGGCGGTGTCTCCCCTGTTTAACTCCTGTCTCTTGTTGAAAGCAGGATGTGAATTTCTCAAACCCACCATCTCAGTGAGCCCCAGCAGGGTGGTGGTGCTCGGGGGAAGCGTCACCATCCGCTGTGAGGGTCGGCAACGATCCATGAAGTTCTTTCTGCGTAAAGCTGGACACCCGAACCTGCAGGTGCAGTCGGTGCTTGATGGGACCGTGGCTGAATTTCCCATCGCCAGTGTCAGCCGGGAAGATGGAGGGAGCTACACCTGCGACTATCGCTCAATAACGGATCAGAGTCGCTGGTCGTATCCCAGCGACCCCGTCGAGATCATTGTAGCAGGTGAGGGGCCCGGCTCAGCGTCCCGGCTCCCAGCCCCACACCCAGCTGGACACTCAGGGGGTCTCTGCACAATGGGACGCTCAGAGCCAGGCTCTGCCCTGAGCCCTGGGCCCAGCAGAGGGGACGCCCAGCCGGGCAGTGGGGACGGAGTCACTGGGGGGTTCCCAGCCAGGGGGGAGCAGCAGCTGTGGAGATTTAGGGTAAAGGAAGGGGGGATCCCTGCCCCCAGGGGGAGCTGCAGAGCAAGGGGCCTTTCCCAGACAACACATCAGTTAGGGGTGATGGGCGGAGCTGAAGGTTATAAACCTCAGTGTATAGTAGAGACTTGCACAGTCCCCTACAAGTCAGGGGTGGTGCTGTGCACAGAACAGTCCTGGCCCCCATCCTCCCTGCTCGCCCCACTAGACCCCACTCCCCCCCTAGAGCTGGGGAGAGAACCCAGGAGTCCTGGCCCTCAGACCCCCTACTCTAACCACTAGACCCAACTCCCACCTCCCTCCACCAGAGCTGGGAAGAGAACCCAGGAGTCCTGGCTCCCAGCCCTCCCAGCAGAGAAGCCAGGGAGTGAATGGACCCTGGAGATTGGACTGGCCTGTCACCCACTAGGGAGCAGAGCCTGTCTGCTTCCCCCTGCAGAGCCCAGCTACCCCAAACCCAACAGCACCCTGACAGACGCTTGTTCTATTCCCGCTGGGGTATCAGACCTGACGCAGCCTGGAGCAGCGCCAGCTACCACCCAACTGTGCAGAGCAGTGCCAGGTACCCGGGTCAGGGGAAATCTATTGAGTCACAGATTATGGGGCAGCTTCCCCCAGTGCTTGCTCAGTGGGAGGGATGGAGGCTGTTCACAGGGGCAGTGACTCCCCCCTCCAACTATTTTGGGAGGGGAGAGAAGCCTCCTCCTCAGACATGAACCCGCTGCTAATGGGGCAGCTGGAGGCTTCCTCTGGGGGCAGCTGGACCCATCAGTAGCCTTGGGCGCGGAGGGGTGGGGGGGCGGAGGCTGGAGCTCCCTGCGAGGCAGCCAGGAGCAGTCAGCATGGGAGGCGGGAGACCGGGCTAGATGGGCCCGTTGGCAGGAGCCGGTATGGCTAGGCCTGATTGGTGCCATGGCACTGTAGGGTGGGGGCAGAGGGGCTGGAAATGACTTAGACAGACAGACAGACGCTGGTGGAGCCTGGGACTGGTCAGCCTGGATCAGAGCCAGTGTCCACCTAGAGCAGTCGCTGATGGTGGAGGGATGGATGGATGGAGGGATATAGATGTGTGTGAGTGGGGCTATAGATAGATTAGATAGGGGAGGTGGATGGGCATACGGTGCTGTAGTGGTTTTCTGCTCTGGGGAGCGGAAAGAGGGTGGGGGCCCCTGCCCATCTACCTGCCCCACCCCCTGGCAGCAGCAGCTGATTCCCCCCTCCCTCTTTGTCACCCCCAGATTACACCCGGGGCAACATTGTCCGCCTGGCCCTGGGTGCCGGGGTCCTGCTGGCCCTGGTGCTGATTCTGGCCGAGGCTGCCCACGGATGGAGGAGGGGCGGACACTAGGTGAAGTGACTCCCCCTTCAAAAGCCTCCTCCCCACTCCAGCCTGGCTGCCCCAGCGTGGGGGAAGGGCAGTGGGGTCACCGTCATCCTGCGCTCGTGAAGCTGCGTCGTCAGGATGGAGCCGGAAGGACCAGTGCAGCCAAACCCGTCTGAGCCGGCCCCGCTGACTGGCCCCCAGGGCGTCTGGACAGGCCCAGCTTAGCGTGGGGCTGGGGAGGGGCTGTGCCAGGGGCTCCGTCTGGGGGTTGCAGAAATAGCTAATGGAAGCGGGATGGGGAGCCTGCTCCATGGGGCGCCCTAGCTCCGCACCCTACAAGGTGATGGGGCTGTCGGGACACGGGGCGCCCTAGGGCAGAGCTCTGGGCCCTACAAGGTGACTGGGGGCCGTCGGGACACGGGGCGCCCTAGCGGCCATGGCTTGTGGGCAGCACCATCCATACCCGTGGTCTCCGGGACATGCTCTGCGCCGCCTGGGCGTCGTTCGCACTGTGGTAGCTTTTGGGCCTGCGAAGCGGCCCGGCTGCGAGCTCACATGTTAAACCCATGGGCAGTTCCCAGCTGTGCCAAGGCCCCGAGAACCAGGGGAAATTGGGGCCGACGCTGAACGTTGTAACCCGGGCGAGAGAACCAGCCACAGACGCTGGGTTGGTCTGACCCGAAAAGCCCCCTGGCTGCAGCCCCACGACTGTCGACATCGCGCTGGGGGGAAACAGAAGTTGGAACCAGGAGTTAATAGCCCCAAATTGGCAGGAGGGACTTTGGGCCTAATTGGGGGGGCAAAATATTGAGGGGGAGGGACTAGGCCGCCCACTTCCCCCTCGTTGGATTCCTTAAAAAGAGACATTGGTAAAAACCCCACGAGGGGCTGAACTGTCTCTCTCCTCCCCCGTCCCACCTTGCGTCCCGGCTCAGCTCGTCCCTGTGACGTTGCCTCTATATGATTTTATGAAAATATGCTCTTGAGTGTGAATATAGTGTAAGTGGATATGCTTCATGCAAAAGGTCTCTTGTAAGGTAACATTACAAAGCTTATAATCTCCTCAGTGTGATCATCCTATTTGTGTAAATGTACCCCTCTTGTATCTGAAACTAGAAATATGGACTAGAACTCGGAGGGCCTATTGTAATTATGCAAAGTGTGGGCCATTAATGGTGGTTTGGAATCTTGATGGCTCCCATCAACCAGGACAATTGACTGTAAATGGCTCTGTTTACTTGTAAGTCTTCCTGTATATCTGTGTGCTGGCAAGTGGGCAATGAAGTCTTACGGTGACATGTGATCATGTCACCTGAACTGGAATCCATTGAGAAGGACGGGGTGGGAACCCAGAGAGGGACAAAGGATTTCCGCCTTGTGCAAAAGATCTATAAGTGGGTGGAACAGAACGGAGGGGGCTGCAGTCATGAGAAATCCCCTAGCTACCACTTGAGCTGGAAGAAGGACAGTATCAGAGGAAAGGATTGGGCCCAGACTAGGAAGGTGTCCAGTCTGTGAAAGAAGCTTATTGAAACATCTCTGAGGGTGAGATTTCATCGGTAATCACTTTCTTACTGTATTAGGCTTAGACTTGCTTGTTTTATTTTCCATTACTAATTTCTCCCTTGTTACTCACATCTTCTTGTCAT